AGTGACATGTCTCAACTGTTCAGGACTACACTTGTACATTTTCATTCCACTAGCGACCCAAATTTTGGAATGACCGTCATGAGTACCAACTACCGTACCTGGTCCATGCCAACATGCCTTCTTGTCCTTTGGCCACATTCTCCAAAAGTAAACCAGCTGTCCTGGTTCATATGGTCCTCGCCTTGGTCTGTTTCTATGATTGTTTGCTTTCTTGATTCTTTCCTCTTCATGTGCTTCTATGTACGACTTACGTGCAGCGTCTCTGATTTTCTGCCTTTTCAAGTACATGCTTTCTCCTGCAGCGAGCGCAGAACTCTCCACATCATTCCCTACATCAAGTTCCAAAACCCCGGGTAAACGGTTTTCTTTACCAAACACATGTTGATAAGGTGAATGTCCTCCAACCCTCGGAAGAGTGTTTACAGCACAAGTCACTTGATCAATCACTTCATCAACCTCTTGTCTGGTGGCTGGAGCCACTGATTCCAAAGTCTTTTCAAAAGCACGTTTCCATGTCTGACCCCGTCTCTCCGTCATCCCGTTTTGATGTGGTGCATACGCAGCAGTCGTGTCATGATAAGAGCCATCTATCTCTAGTCCATGTAGAAATTCGGCATCGAACTCTCTACCATTGTCAGCCAAGACCCTGAGTGGCACACCTGCCCATCGTTTCCAACATTTTCTGTAGCAAGACCGCACATTCGTTGCAGTACATCCATGCCAGAGTGGTGCCACCATCTGATAGGCAGTAGCCTCATCGACTATATTGAGCAACTTTAATTTTCTGTTCAACACTTCAACCTCGAAAGTATCGATCATGATCTGTTGATTGAACTCCCATGCCTTTTTGATCCTGGCCACTGGCTTTGCCGGTGGACTGTCTTTCATTCTACACATGGGACATGTCAACCCTTTTGCCAGTCGTATAGTCGTTTCGTTTGCGTTTGCTGACTTCAACATGGAAATGAGTCTCGCGTTTGATGGGTGTCCAAGGTTATCATGACATCTTTTCAAAGCACTGATTACCTTTGCCTCATCCACCTGTTTTGAGAACACTTCAGCAGTATACACAGTGGAAATCAAGGCTTCCGTTTGTTTCGTTTGTTTCCAAGCAACATACCCCTCAAGAATAGCATGAACCAATTGTTTGGGATATCTCTGAGCCATCTCACTCCTACGCTTCCATCCAAACTTCGTGTTGACACTACCAAACACAGGTTCATGTTCATGTTTTCCATTACATCTCTTTTCAACTCGTTGCCTAATCTCTTCACAGTTAGTCATGATACCAGTAGGTTTTCGATACCGCAACCCCGAGTGAACATCACGCAAGTTGAACATACACTGGTCTAGTCTTACACATGATACTCCAGCCTTCTCAGCAACAGTCCTGACGCATTCTTCAAACCAAGACTCAGCAAACCATGGATGTTCGAACACGAACTTTCGTCCGGCTGTATGTTGTAGTGTGCACAGTTCCATGGCAAATGCTAAGAACTCCCTAGCCTCACTACGCGCTTTCTCATATATCTCACCTCTGTGTTTCCTAAGCCTTTGCAAAACCGAATGCATTTTACACGGTGGACACACCACCAACAGCTCAGGTTTAGTTTTGTTGACCAGCGCAATTACCTCATCCTTTGCCTTTTGGGTTCTGAGGTCACATCCCACCTTGATATCGAACGCATAATCTGCAGCAAGAGACATCTTCTGTGCAGTGGCAGTTATATGAGGCGTTGAGAACACTTCCATGACATGCTGCCGTTCCGAGGCAGCCGCTTCGCAAACTGTCATGACATCAACCCTTTGTTTGTTTTCATGCAACATTTTGTCAAAAGACTTTCTAACAAACCTCTTCTCTGCCTTAGTCATGCATGTCGTCTCACTCAGATCGCTCACTCCGACCAGTCCATGATTCACTGCTTCTTCTCCATGTACTTCTTCATCTCCATCATCTGACCTTCCAGCTCTGCCTTCTGGTTGGTGGCATTCTGAATGGTCTGATTCAGGAGCTTCATCTGCTCTTGGATTACCTTCATCTGAAGAAGCATGTCCTCCTGAGTTGGTAAGCGTGCGGTGTGGCTCTGAGCTGGACTTGCTGTCTGGCTCTGATCCATGATCTCCTCCCACTCGCTTTCCAGCTTGGATCGACGAATGCCCTTGTCCTTGTTGTCCTTCTCCTGGAACATGGGCACCATGGGTCGCGTCCCGGTGATCTGTGACAATCGCTGCTTCTTTTTCTTGTCTCGAGCCTCCACATACAGTCGGAACTTGAGCATCCCAGCTGTGAACTTCTTCTTGGAGGGCTCCACATTTTCGCGAACCCATGCTACATACTCCTTGTGATCCTTGTACACCTTGCTGAAGCCCATCCCCTTGTGTTTCCCGGTCTCCAACTCTTCGTTGCCAAGCCCTTCTTCTTCTGGCTCGTCGCTTGGCTGATCTGGTTGGAGATCCAAGTTGTTGGCCTTCTGAATCATCTCCTCCTCCATGTCTTTCTTCTGACGCTCCTGGATGGCCTCTTTGAGCTGACTCATCATGGACGTGGACATGTTCCGCACTCAAGGTCGATTTGACTTGAGTCTCAAAAGCTTCTGCTGACTCTTCTTTCATGCTGTGCTTTGTGTGTTCTGTGTGTGCGTGTTTAGTGGACTGAAACAACGGAATAGCAAAATGCCCACGTTGAGTAGTCCCCATCTCCATTTCAACCCCAAGTTTCCTAAAACACACGACAGCCGAGGACAAATCCATCTGCGTACCTAACTGCTTCAAAAACTCTTTGCTGAGTAAAAGAGGCGTGTGTGCCCCTTTCCCCGGCAGCACAGCAGCTCGAATGACAACTGACCGATGTTTGAACATCACAGGAATCAAAACGCTCTCAACAGTCTTCAAGCACCCATCATTTCAAAACGGAACACATTCTCATCATCAAACCTGTGAACCTTTTTGCCTCTAAGCCTCAGTTCATTTTCAATTCCTTCCAACGTCTGTTGTCCAACTAGCGTTTTCCTACAAGCAGTGTCAGGTACCGCGTGTGTACTCAAACTACAATCATGTTCCCCTTGCGCATCACACATGTATGACTCCAGGCCGTGCGCGTCAGAGTCCGCAAAGTTGCATTCAAAAACTTTGGAGAACTGGCTACTGCTCGAGGTCCCCCCTTTCTGTACATCCTGAGCCAACAAAGTTTCCAGCTCAGACACACTGTCATCGGTGAAAAATGCCTCGTGAAACTGTGATTTCAGGGCGTCGGCATCTATGTCACTCAGTTCTTCTTGCTCAGAACCTCGTGCTCCTTGAAGTTCATAGTCCGCTACCATTGCATCATGGGTCTCCTTCGGCATGTTTTCAGCCCTCTTGCCATAGGACTTGTTTCCCTTTCCACTGCCCTTGTCTTTCTTTGGACACTCTCTTTTCCAATGTCCCAGTGCTCGACAAATGTGGCAGCGAGTCTTGTCTTTCATCTGCTGGATCTTTGCTTGCATGGTTCCCGTCAGATGGAGGTGTGGAGTTGGAGGTGTCCTGAACCCCCGCGCCACCTTCTGGGACTGCATGCGCTTTCTGATCTCTGCGTATGTCTCATAGGCATCCAAGGCATCTTCGTATTCACCTTCGCATTCCTGAACCATTTCTGCCACCGCCTCGAACACATCGGCAGCTTCATCTTCTTGTACATATACTTCTCGTGGTTCATCTTCTTGGTTCTCAGTCACAAAGATGTCCTTGCTTTTCACCTGCACCAAGCATTTCCCCTCTGGCAGCACTTTGGTAAGGGCCGTAGTCACGTCCTCATACTTCAGGCTTCCCGAGGTAGACGTCAAGATCAGTGCTTCCTGCGTCATGTCAAAGTTCATCTTTTTCATGAGCATCCAACCTTTCACTGTAGGCGGAAGTTCAATTCCGTGCTCTGCGAGTTTCTTGTAAGTGGTTTCCAGGCGGACCACAAATTGTCGAAACGTCTCATTCTGTCGTATTGTGCACCGGTAGAAGTATTCCTTCAAGTATTGTTGCACTTCTTCTTCTTTCCTCTTGGAATACTTTTGATCCAGAGCACTCAACACCTGCTTGTATCCGCCTTCCTGGCATAGCTCTGATATGGATATATCCTCTATCAGTTCTTCAGCTTCTCCACTCACATATTCACACAGCTTTGGACCCCACCTGCTCTTCTCAAAGGTATTTGGTAGTGCTAACAGCATCAACTCGGCCTTGCGCCTCCACCTCTTGTAAGCCGAAGGGTCCGTCCCGTCGAACTTCTCAAGCTTCGCTCTGTCCTCCTCTTTGACGGTCGCCATGCTGAGCTCTTTGGCTCCGCTACCACCTGTGAGACCCACAGGTGGTAACAAAGGAACCCCAAGCAGCACAAGCAAGCGCTCTTTCCATCTAAGGGCGAACACGAGTGACTCCCGGCATCTAAGGGGGACCTCTGAACCCCAATGGCACACATGCCAACTAGCTGGTCCTCAATAACAAGGTGTGATGGCAAACGACAAAAGAAATCACATATTTCAAAAAGTGAGGACCAGCTGCATTGCTGAAGGCTCTTCTGTTCACTTCTTCACTGAGCAACTTGAACAGGCTATCCAACAGGTCAAGGTGCAAGAGCATGAATTTATGGATTCTGGCCTTCAATCAACTCAGGATCGTTGGCAAGTTCAAGGAGATACGGCACTTTGCCATCTATGATGATCCTGAGAGGGTTGCAGATTTGCAAGCGCTACTGGAGCAAGAGGCTGGCGGCATGTGGGATTCGCTGCGTGTCATTCGGGAGTGCGCAAATGAAATCCTGCGATTGCTCGGGGCTGCAGCAGAAGAAGACCTGGAAGTGGAGGACCTTAGATATGGTTGTGGTGGCTGTATAGGTGGCACCTGAGGTTGGAGAAGTCGAGCAGCCTCAAAAATTAAACAAAGGTCTAGAGTTAAACGAGTTGATCTGGTTGTTTTTGTGGGCTAGGTGTACTGAGATCACCTTGCAATAATCCCGCGTCGGCCCAGGACCAGGACCTGCAGATCGAAGAGCCTGACAACGTTCTTAGTGTGTTCCTGGCAATTCGCACATGTGCAATGGACATGGCAACGCTGAACGTGGCAAAGCTCGACAGGCATCAGAGGTGGAGATCAGCTTGTGCACAAATTCTTCGTGCCACTCGCAAAGCTGAGGAGTTGCTGCTGCTGCAGGATTTCCTGCTGGTAGAAGTTTGCCCTGAGGAGTCTGATGTGTTCACACATCCCACTGCCCAGCCTCACACAGCAGAGACGTGGAGCAAGACAGAAGAGACACGGGCGCAAACGGATGCAGACGCGTCAAATCTTCCTGAGAACATTGCTGCTGGGGAAACGGAAAAGCAAATGCAGACCTTGGAGCACCAACTGCTAGAGTTGCAGAGTACACACAAGGATCAAGACCACCCCGAAATTGCTACGATACTGCATGAGCTAGGCCAAGTGAGCCAGCAGGCTGGAGATCTCCAGCAGGCAGAGCAGCACTTTGGTGAGTTACTAACAATGGACCGCTCCTTGCATGGGGACAGGGATCACCCTGATATTGCTGCGACACTGCTTGGACTAGGCCAAGTGAGCCTGCAGGCTGGAGATCTCCAGCAGGCAAAGCAGCACTTTGATGAGTCCTTACGAATGGCGCGCTCCTTGCATGGGGACAGGGATCACCCTGGTATTGCTGCGACACTGCATGCACTAGGCCAAGTGAGCCAGCAGGCTGGAGATCTCCAGCAGGCAAAGCAGCACTTTGTTGAGTCCCTACGAAAGGCGCGCTCCTTGCATGGGGACAGGGATCACCCTGGTATTGCTGCGACACTGCATGCACTAGGCCAAGTGAGCCGGCAGGCTGGAGATCTCCAGCAGGCAAAGCAGCACTTTGATGAGTCCCTACGAATGGAGCGCTCCTTGCATGGGGACGGGGATCACCCTGATATTGCTGCGACACTGCTTGCACTAGGCCAAGTGAGCCTGCAGGCTGGAGATCTCCAGCAGGCAAAGCAGCACTTTGATGAGTCCTTACGAATGGCGCGCTCCTTGCATGGGGACAGGGATCACCCTGGTATTGCTGCGACACTGCATGCACTAGGCCAAGTGAGCCAGCAGGCTGGAGATCTCCAGCAGGCAAAGCAGCACTTTGATGAGTCCTTACGAATGCAGCGCTCCTTGCGTGGGGACAGGAATCACCCCGAAATTGCTACGATACTGCATGAGCTAGGCCAAGTGAGCCAGCAGGCTGGAGATCTCCAGCAGGCAGAGCAGCACTTTGGTGAGTTACTAACAATGGACCGCTCCTTGCATGGGGACAGGGATCACCCTGATATTGCTGCGACACTGCTTGGACTAGGCCAAGTGAGCCTGCAGGCTGGAGATCTCCAGCAGGCAAAGCAGCACTTTGATGAGTCCTTACGAATGGCGCGCTCCTTGCATGGGGACAGGGATCACCCTGGTATTGCTGCGACACTGCATGCACTAGGCCAAGTGAGCCAGCAGGCTGGAGATCTCCAGCAGGCAAAGCAGCACTTTGTTGAGTCCCTACGAAAGGCGCGCTCCTTGCATGGGGACAGGGATCACCCTGGTATTGCTGCGACACTGCATGCACTAGGCCAAGTGAGCCGGCAGGCTGGAGATCTCCAGCAGGCAAAGCAGCACTTTGATGAGTCCCTACGAATGGAGCGCTCCTTGCATGGGGACGGGGATCACCCTGATATTGCTGCGACACTGCTTGCACTAGGCCAAGTGAGCCTGCAGGCTGGAGATCTCCAGCAGGCAAAGCAGCACTTTGATGAGTCCTTACGAATGGCGCGCTCCTTGCGTGGGGACAGGGATCACCCTGGTATTGCTGCGACACTGCATGCACTAGGCCAAGTGAGCCAGCAGGCTGGAGATCTCCAGCAGGCAAAGCAGCACTTTGATGAGTCCTTACGAATGCAGCGCTCCTTGCGTGGGGACAGGAATCACCCTGATATTGCTGTGACGCTGCATGCACTAGGCCAAGTGATCCAGCAGGCTGGAGATCTCCAGCAGGCAAAGCAGCACTTTGATGAGTGCTTACGAATGGAGCCCTCCTTGCATGGGGACAGGGATCACCCTGATATTGCTGTGACGCTGAATGCACTAGGCCGAGTGAGCCAGCAGGCTGGACATCTCCAGCAGGCAAAGCAGCACTTTGATGAATCCTTACGAATGGCGCGCTCCTTGCATGGGGACAGGGATCACCCTGGTATTGCTGCGACACTGCATGCACTAGGCCAAGTGAGCCGGCAGGCTGGAGATCTCCAGCAGGCAAAGCAGCACTTTGATGAGTCCTTACGAATGAAGCTCTCCTTGCATGGGGACAGGGATCACCCTGATATTGCTGCGACACTGCTTGCACTAGGCCAAGTGATCCTGCAGGCTGGAGATCTCCAGCAGGCAAAGCAGCACTTTGATGAGTCCCTACGAATGGAGCGCTCCTTGCATGGGGACAGGGATCACCCTGATATTGCTGCGACGCTGCATGCACTAGGCCATGTGAGCCGGCAGGCTGGAGATCTCCAGCAGGCAAAGCAGCACTTTGATGAGTCCCTACGAATGGCGCGCTCCTTGCATGGGGACAGGGATCACCCTGGTATTGCTGCGACACTGCATGCACTAGGCCAAGTGAGCCAGCAGGCTGGAGATCTCCAGCAGGCAAAGCAGCACTTTGATGAGTCCTTACGAATGGAGCGCTCCTTGCATGGGGACAGGGATCACCTTGGTATTGCTGTGACGCTGCATGCACTAGGCCAAGTGATCCAGCAGGCTGGAGACCTCCAGCAGGCAAAGCAGCACTTTGATGAGTGCTTACGAATGGAGCGCTCCTTGCATGGGGACAGGGATCACCCTGATATTGCTGCGACACTGCATGCACTAGGCCAAGTGAGCCGGCAGGCTGGAGATCTCCAGCAGGCAAAGCAGCACTTTGATGAGTCCCTACGAATGGAGCGCTCCTTGCATGGGGACAGGGATCACCATGGTATTGCTACGACACTGCGTGAGCTAGGCCAAGTGAGCCAGCAGGCTGGAGATCTCCAGCAGGCAAAGCAGCACTTTGATGAGTCCTTACGAATGAAGCGCTCCTTGCATGGGGACAGGGATCACCCTGATATTGCTGCGACACTGCATGCACTAGGCCAAGTGCGCCGGCAGGCTGGAGATCTCCAGCAGGCAAAGCAGCACTTTGATGAGCGCTCCTTGCATGGGGACAGGGATCACCCTGGTATTGCTGCGACACTGCATGCACTAGGCCAAGTGAGCCAGTAGGCTGGAGATCTCCAGCAGGCAAAGCAGTACTTTGATGAGTCCTTACGAATGGAGCGCTCCTTGCATGGGGACAGGGATCACCCTGACATCGCTGCGACACTGCTCAAGCTTCTTTGCCCATTAGGAGGGTTTGTTGTAGCATTGATGATCTGGCATGGATTGTTCCCACTTGCTACGGGCGCCACTTTGCGACTTTTTGAGTTGTAGAGTTTCATGTCTGAGAGGTGTAGCAGCACTCAAATTTTTGAAGGAGTTTCTCCACATGAAGCTCTCACAGAGATGAGGGCTTGGTGAGTCACCTGAGGCCCACTTGCATCCGGCGTTGCGCTCTGCAGAACAACCGCTTAAGTGCTTAAGCTGTCTGTAAAATGGCAGGGGGGATGAGTGTTTTATGTGTCTCCTGGATCTGCTTTGGCACTGGACAGTTGTTGCTTGACGGCCACTAGTTGGTTCTCGTCTTTCTATCTCGTTCTCCTGAATGGTGAGCGTATCATGGTGAGAGCCGTAAACGAACAAATGCTAGTGCAGCCATCGACTCATGAGACCAGATCAGGATTCGAGGAGATCAAACAGACATCCAACTCCCCACTTGGCTATTGGTCCAACCAGCAGCCTTGTGCCATCATCAGTACTCATAATTCAGAATATTTCTTGTGTTCAGTCTGAAACAGCTGAAGCGATCCATGATAAAAATTGTACATCAACCATTCTCAACCATATCAACCATTTTCAACCATAGACTCTAGACTCTAGATGTCTTAAGATGACTTAAGATATCTTAAGATGAATGGTGAGATATGGTGAGCCACAAGCTATTTCAATCTGACCCCAACTCGACCCCCTCGGTCCAGCCAGGAGATCACCTCGCAGGAGGAGATGTCTCCGGAGGCCATGGAGCTGCGGAAACTTTACGCCGAGGAGCTGAGGGGGTTCTCCATCAATGGTACCCCAAAAAGGGGATGGTAAAAAATTGGAAAATCCATGAAACTCCCCATCTAAAATGGATGGTTTAGTTAGGTGTACCACCATTTTAGATATTTTAGGACACCTCCATATTGATAGTCCATGAACATTCTCTTTTTTTGGGTTCGCATATCATCGGCTAGGTAGGTCTGGGATAGGTGTAGGACTCTTACGTTGCATGTTCACACTTTGATTTCTTATTTCTTATTTATTTATTTGATCAGACAGATTCACACCTGGAGTGATCACCAAGGATGCCAGTCCGATCGTTGGCCATTTTGGCGCGAAGTACGTGATCAGCTCCAGGCATCATCTCTCTCGAAAAGAGATCATTTGAGGGCCTGGGAGCTCGTTCACTTAAATAGCTTTGATCATGAGTTTTCCCCCTACTTACCCTGCTCCTTCGTCGTTGCGGCGCCAGCAAGCCATGGCAGCAGCTCGTTCAGCTGAAGGAGTGCGCCCAGAAGACAGCGCATCAATGGTAGGCTCCACGGCGGGATCTCATGGGTCTTGGAGTGTGGTGGTCAATGAGCAGACCAATGTGGCTCCACCAGCCGGTCAAGGGGTGCCCATGCAGTTCCCAACACCAAAGGCTCCTCCTCCTGGCTTTAGACCTGAGGACAAGCAAGCGGCTCCGGCAACTGAGGCTGACCCTGAACTGACTCAGAATGTGCCGCCACATGATCCCCAGCTCTGGGCGGGAGTGTTTGATCCACCCTCAACGGTGCCTGCAGCTCCTGCCACCCAAGCAGCCAAAGCTCTTTGGGACAATGCTCAACAACAGGCGCAACGGTTGGCCAAGCAGAAAGCTCAAGCCAAACGCCGTGGACAGAGAGGGATCCGTTGGGGGCAGATGCCAGGTCTGAATGCTCAAAACTTCCAGCTCCCGAATTTCATTCAGCAGCTTGGGGCTCGTGAGAATGAGCGGTCAGTTCTGGTGATCGACAGCCGCGACAAAAGGATCCAATCCCCATTTCAGGGGTGGCTTCTGGACGAGATCCTCCTCAACGCTCAGTCTGGGGTGAATGTCTTGTCAGACAGCCAGTTGGTTCGATCGCCTAGCACGGGCTATCACATGAACCTCTTTTACGTGAGGATCCTCGACGGCTTCAAGCTCATTTTGGTGGGGACTATGACGTCCTATGGCACGGTTCCTGCTGCCAGATGGGACGAAGCCACCAGCAAGGTGCTCAACCACAAGGCCTTTCAACCGTTCAGATGGCCCATGATGTCAAACGAGGCATCCACGTGGGTCGATGTGAAGGTCAAAGTGGAAGGGGATTTGCTCTTGCACCTTGAGCTCCGTGGATACCGCTCGGACCAAGATATGTCGGTCCAGCTCAACTACATCAATGATGTGATGGTCGCAAACTTCAGGGACACGCTCTTCGTGCCGTCCTGCGTGGTCACGATCTTTCAAGGATGGCGAGTTGTGGCTACTTCGTTCGAAGTGGGCGGGCGCTTGTATGCGTGCTCAGAAGGTGGCATGGTGGCAGCTCTTGATTTTCCACTATGTCACTTGGAGGTGCGCATGACAGCTCTGTCCTCTGCCGACTCGATCGGAATAGACGCCGACAGGCTGGAGTTCAGATTTCGATCGTCCGGGGACAAGCTGGACGTGGCTTGTTCACAGGCTGTGGTGCCTTCCACGTGGCTCGTGGTGTCACGGGTGTCAGGACCCACGCTCATCAAGAATGCTCATTGGTGCCGTGATCATCATGCTCGCATCGAGGGCCCAGACCAGACTCTTCAGCTCTCGCAACTGGCAGGTGTTCACGCCCATTGGACTGCAACGATCGAGGCAGGAGCTCTGGAGGAAACTGGCCCGAGGATCAGTGCAGTGGCGGTGGAATCCCATCCAGCCAATGTTCATTTGACGTGTGAGGCTCCGCTCTTCAGGGCTCCCAAAGCGATTGTGCCAGTGGAGTCTTTGGCTCTGCAATGTCATGATCAACAGTTGGAGCAAGAGATGCTGGTGCTCCCTCCTGTGCATGGTGGTCCATCAGTGGTGCCTGCAGCTCAGGCGACTTGCAGCCAACGTGCTCTTGCTGGGCCTTCAAATCCAGCGCTGGTGGTGGCTCCACGTGGGACAGCTGCAGTGTCTGTCACAGAGCCCGGACAAGCTCCTGGGGCGCAAGAAGTGGCTGGTGGCTCGATCTTAGTTCAAAGGCGCTCTTTGGGGGCTCGTGCAGCTGAAAACCTTTCTGAGGCTGCTGTGACCCCTCAGACGTTTCTTGATCGAGTTCAAGGTGCTCGTGACAGCCAAGACCCTCACTATGTTCCAAGTCATCCTGTCAGCTACGGCCCTGCTCCGGTGATTGAAGAAGTCACGGACTGCTGATTTTTAGGATGGTCTTCATTTTGTTCAATTGAAATTCACCGGGAAGGTGCTGGAATGTTCCAGGTGGATGTTAAGCAAGATTGCTTTCCGATCGGCAGGAAAACCAGTGCTCATGTCAGCCGCTGGAAGTGGCACGGGAAGTGCAACTTGAAAGGGGTTGTGCATGAGACGGTTTCCTTTTTATTTTTGGTTGTTCAACTTGTTTACAATTTGGCATGTGCTGCTCTTTTAATTTGCCATGTTCAATGTCAGCAAGTTGAGCGATCTTTTATTTGTAAGGGGTCTCACAACCCACATGTTCATGTGTTCATTCTGACCCTGCTCAGGCGATCACCTCAGCGGGAGGGGTGTTGTGGGACCTCAGATCGGACTGGACGTAGGATTGTGCTGACTGGCATAGGGCGATCGCCCACGAAGTTAGCCATCCTTCTCTGTCTGATCTGTTATATTTAAAGTTCATTAAGTCTTATGATATTGGCATGTTCATGTCTTGCGTGTGCTCATAGGATCTTTCATTGTGGTATGATCAGGTATTTTTCTCGCCAGGTTCTCTTTTTTGGGTTTTGTTAGGCTTCTTAGGTTGCCCCACCCATCACATGTTCTGTTTGATCTAAGCCACCAAGTCGCTCGGACAGTGTGACCATGGCTCAGTCTCAGGATAGGTGGGCTTCTAAGATCCTAGCTCTCCCAATTTTCTCAGATGAGTTTGCCCAGGCGATTTTGCGCTCGCCATACTCGAACCTGGCGCTGATCGCCGCAATGGAGGTGCACTCTGCTGGTGAGTTCGTGGTGAGAGTTCATGAGTGGTCTTCGTCGGTTCCTGAAGACTCGAGAGATGCACTGCTCATGAACGGGTTCATGCTGGAGCAATACTGGAGTTTGGCTAGTTCTATTGAAAAAGCTTTGTTTGAATCTACAGCGAACCAGCTCGGCTTTGGCATGTGTGATCCCGTTACAACAGCTTTGAGTGCAGAAACTGCCAGTGCTAGACAAGCTCGGGCGGTTAGAGCTCTGCTCGAGCGGCCTGCCCAACAGCCTAGAAGATCCTCAAGAAGACGGAGTCAGATCCCTCCGCCACGCCGTTGCTCAACCAGGAGACAGCTGCTCGCTGGAAGTGGGCGGCAAAGCTGGAAGAGATAGGCAGGAGGGCTGGCTCGTGCTCCAAGCTTTTGGTGGACACCGCCAACAGTGAGGGTCTTTCGACGGCTGAAACGGCTCGTCTTAGGCAGTTAGTTCTTTCCTCAGGGGCACCTAGAACCATGGCAGCCCATATTTCAACCTGGGAAAGGTTCGAAGAGTGGTTGCTAGGTGAGGGTATCCCTGTTTTCCCCCTTAGTTCTGATATGATTTTGAAATATGCTCTGTTTTTGGACCAGCGTGAATGCGGTCCGACAGTAGTTCCATCGCTCAGAACAGCCATTAGATGGGTCACCTCTAAACTAGCAATTGACTGCCCCGATTTGGCTCACGCGGCACTGCTCGCCGTCCAGGCAGAGATCGTCCAGAAAAGGGCGACCACCCTGAAAGAGGCCAACCCGATCCCGATCGAGGTGATAGGGTGCATGGAGAAGTTCGTGGTTGACGAAGAAGAGGCCGAAGCGGCTCGTCTCTTCGTTTGGTGGTGGCTTTGCATGGTCTTTGCCTCTTTGCGTTTTGACGATGCAGTCCATGTGAAGCCGAGTGAGCTTATCCTCACGGATGAAGGCCTGTTCGGCGTGGCGTGGCAGACAAAGGTCGAAAGGAAGAGGAGAGGAACCAAGTTCGTTGTCCCCCATGTCGGCTTCGCTGACTCTGGATGGCTGCTCGCTGGTTGGAGCATTTTCCAGCTGGAGTCTTTCGACAGAGACTACTGGATGCGGGATTTGAACACCCGCGACGCGTTCAGAGATGCGCCGGCAGCCTATCAACGTTCAGTTCAATGGCTCCGCCACCTTGCCAAGTTCGCCTTGAAAAAGTACTTCCAGGGCGAGGAGCAAGCGATCAAGCTGGCAGAATCCAAGCTACATGGGATCACTGCACACTCTGCTCGTGTGACGCTTCTAGACGCAGCGGTGCATGCTGGTCGCTCGACGGAAGAGATCGGCTTGCAGGCAAACTGGAAGAATCCGGGCCCGCTCGTTTTGAAGTACACACGGAATCGCACGCGTGTGCCAGCTCAGATGGTTCAGCAGCTTGTGAAGGACATGGTCGACCACTCCCACCCGTTCGAGGTGCCAGCAGATGCGGTGCTCGATGATGGCGCCGAGACCGCTCTTGATGAAGTTCAGTTCTTCGTCAAGACCCATGGCTCCAGGGCGAATCAAGATTTTCGCTTTCATTGCTCGCAGGTGGGCGATACTTCACTGGTGCCCTGTGGACGCCTCACGATCGAGGAGTGCACAGAGACTGGCTCAGTCCTGCCTGACCCTTCACTGCTCTGCAAGCGCTGCGCCCAAGCTCGCCCTGATGTGGTCTCGAGTGCTTCACTGCAGTGCGCACTCCAGGATCGTGTTGTGCCTTAGCCGCATGTGGGTTCTGCAAGTCATGGCATATCATTGTTTTACATTTTCTTGTCTTGTGTTCATTTAGCATGCTCTGCAAGTTTTCCTTTTTCAAGAAGCAAATTTCAGTGATCGTTTGAGAGATGGTCGATCGCACGGTCTATGCAGCGGACGCCGTGCCTGAGCTCCCGCTGCGGCAAATCCTGGGGCGTCAGAAGATCCCAGAAGACCTGTGCAGGCTCGTGGCCGACTCAGGCCTCAGGAGCGTGGAAACCTTCGCAATGCTGGGGGATACCATAGCCATGGTCAAGCAGACGATCAAGACTCTGATGCCGGATCACGCCCAGCTCGGAGCTGATCAACCTGCTCAAGAACTGGCTTTGACCTCACTGGCAGCGGTTTGGAAGACATGCTCTACAATGCAGGACCATTTCGCAGCTCGCAGAGCGAAGGTGGAGGAGGATCCGTCAAAGGTGCCGGAGATCCCTGGTGAAGACCATGCCGAATTTAGACAGACGTTCGTCTCCAGGCACCCTGATGTGGTCCTTCCAATCCATCGAGAGCCTCATCGCAAGTTCGTTGAGAGAATCCAAAGAGATCACCTTGTCCACGGTTTTGTTCACTTCTACGAAGTGGGTGAGATCAGGACACGCAACGAGCAGATCGCTCAGAAGTCCGGGCTCTCCAAGAACGCGGAAGATCTGCTGCGTGTGGTGACGATCGACCAGCCCGTGACCGCCAGTTCAGAGAGCCAAGTCATGGATAAGCTTCATGCGTTCTTCATCACCTTGGAGTACCTCAACATTTGTGAGTTCTCCTTCAAGGCCGGCCCTCTCAAATATTTGGCCGAACTGGAAGAGTGGCGGCATGAGAACCGTGGCCTTGCTCTGCTCCTGGCAGCGGACTCGCTGATCAGGAAGAAAGTCCATCGGGTGAGCTCGGACCAGCGGAAGAGGTTCAGCACCTTCTCTGCAGCCCTCTTGGAAGTGCTCACCAACCACAAACAGTTGTGGAATGATGCTCGCTCGAGTGCGGAACTGGACAAGTTCAAGCAGGCGGCGACATCCGCCCCTACGACACCGCCCAAGAAGCGAGCTCGTTCGACCTCACCACCCTCTCCACCAAGCACAGCCAAGGCCAAGAAGAATCGCAATCGGCGTGCTCGACAAAAAGTTCAACTTCAGCAGGCCAAAGCAGTTCTAGCAAAGCACTCTGATCGTGACAAGCCAGACAGCAAGAAGCCGTCTCGCGATGCTCGCGTGCCCCCGGCAGAGTGGCAGAAAATCACCTCGTTCAAGTATGGTGGCCCCGAACGCTGCCCTTTCTTCAACTGCTCGCTGGGGTGCCGCTTTGGAGATCAGTGTAAGCAGAAACACAGCTGTGTCGAGTGTGGAAAAGACCACCCTTGGCACGGTAACCACTGAACAACCCCCCGTCCGGGGGCTGCGGCTCCTCGCCCAGTTCTGGGCCTAGCGAAAGGCAGCAATGACGGCTCTCTCAGCTCTGCTGAGCGCAGCTCGAGCCCTTCGTCAGTCGAAGGTTCCTTTGCTGGGTCTTGGGCCACAATTTTGTCACATTTGCCCTCCTTGCGGAAACAAGGGCGTTTCTTTTTGGAGCTCTTTTCGGGCACTGCAGGGATCACGGAAGCTGTTCAGCTCACTGGAGTCCCCGTGCTGCCGCCCATTGACATTGTGCTCTCCGAAATGGTCAGAGAAGCTTCAGATGTGGTCGATGCTCAAGTGTGGCAGCGTGTGCTGCGGGCTCTGCGCGAAGGGGTGGTGTTCTACCTGCACTGCGGCACGCCTTGCAACACTTTTTCTTCTGCTCGCAAAGATGACGGAGGTCCACCACCTCTGCGCTCATTGGAGTACCCCATGGGATTGCCGGATCTGAGTCTTGACAATTGGTGCTTGGTTCAGCTTGGCAACTTGTTTTTAGGTCATACTTGTGAGGCTTGTGTCATTGTTTTCGATCATGGTGGGGATTTTTCTATCGAAAATCCTCTTTTGAGCCTGATGTGGGTCACTTATTTGATGGATAATTTGATTTTCCATGCTCGGGCTCTGGCCATTGACCTCGAACAATGCGCATTTGGAGCTCCCTCTCGCAAGCCCACTCGACTGGAGTGCTCCAACGAACTCTTTGATCCTTTGGCAATCACTTGCCCTGGCGGTCATGGCCACATCAAGCTCAAGGGCAAGGTCATCGACCCAGAAACGGGCAAGCGCGTGTTCAAGACCAAAGCAGCGCAGGTCTACCCTTGGGCGTTGTGTGCGGCGTTCGCCTCGGTGGTGCATGCTCTCTGGCAGGATCCGTTTCAACATCTTCAGGCGTCCTTTCAGTTGGTTACGCCTGCTTCCGACCGGAAGCGGCAACTGGGATCCTGCAAGCCGTGGCTGGGCCATCGACAAATGAGCTCCGCCCAACGTGCGCAGTGGGCCGGTTATCAGCTCAAGCGTGGTGCAGCAAAGCCGCTCTTGCACATCGAAATGGAACCTGGTCAAGCCATTGAGGCTGCTCTCCATGTGATCCATCCTTTCACTTTGGCGGCTCCTTTGTCAGCCCCTGAAGAGAAAGCCTTAGGTGAGCTCAGGCGACCGGCGCATGAAGTCGTTCGACATCGAGGGCATTTGCTCCGCCGTTGGTCACAGATCGCAGTCGAATTGCTGCCACAATCTGTGCAAGCCATTCGCCAGTTGCCAGATGCTCCCTTGAGGCGGCTCCTTCTTGGCGGGGCGGATCACGAACCACCAGTTCATGGTCAGGTTTGCCATGTCGCCTTGTATGCAGCCATGCTCGATGCGTGCCAATCAGTGGACCGCGCTTTGCCTCAGCTGCTCTTGGAAGGTTTTCCCATTGTGGGCGAGATCGCTCGCACAGGCCGTTGGCCAGCCTATGATAAGCCTCAGAAGGATATCCCCGTTCGGGAAGCGCTTGGTAGGGCCTGGGCAATCAGACGCAAGATCATTCAGCGGGTCGCTCATGTCCCTGTCACAGAGAACCTTCAAAAAATTTGGGAGGCCTCACTCGAGGATGTGCATGAGTGCTCGTGCTTAGGTCCTTTTTCACATGAAGCTCAAGTTTCTGACATCCTTGGATGTGAAGATTGGATCCCAACCCAGAGATTTGAAGTCGTTCAATAACAAGGTCAGGGGTTGCGATAGTGCCACTACAAACATGATCAACCAGGTCACAAAGATCACTGAGAAGCTTCAGTTCCCCTCGACGGACACCAATGTGGCGGCCCTGGGGATGTTGAAGTCGATCAAGCCAGATGAAGAATTGGCAGGCTGGGTGCTCGATGAGCGGAAGGCATACCGACAGGTGGCTATTCGTCCTGATCACCGCAAGTTCTCAGTCATCTGCCTCAAGAGCCCCAAGTCTGGTGCTCCAAATTTCTTTATTATGGTCGGCCACTCCTTTGGGCTCGTCTCGGCAGTCTATAACTACAATCGCCGTTCGGCTGCTATCAACGAGTTCCTGGTGTCGTTGTTTGGATTGGTTGCCTTCAGCTTCTATGATGACAAGTACGGGTTCGAGCCGAAGTCCACGGTGGAGAGCGCTCGCCTCGTGGCCGAGAGCGTCCATTTTTGGCTTGGTGCTCGTTTTGATCAGAAGAAGCTGCAACTGTCCGAAGCGCCTACGATTTTGGGAGTCACCTACAACCTATCGGCCATGCAGCTGGAGATCAAAGCCGATCGCAAAGAGGAGATCGCCAATGAGATTGACGCCATCCTTACTTCAGGGCTTCTGGATCCAGGCTCTGCCGGCAAGCTCAAAGGGAAGCTGATGTTTGGCTCTTCTCAACTTTGGGGAAAAGTCGGTCGTGCTTTTCTGAGAGTTATTTCTGAGAGGCAGTATCTGCGTTTTCCTGTAGGTCATGAGTTTAAACTAGACCCTGCTCTGAAGAAAGCTCTGAATCATTGGCGTAGGCTCGTTTTGCATGGACCACCTAGGCCAATTGAAACTGTTTCAGAGAAGCTCGTGGATGCTGTTGTTTTCACTGACGGTTTCACACCAGATCCGAGATCGAATCAGCGCGAGCCTGATCGCATTGGCGCTGTTCTCTTTGATCGTAGGATAGGTAGGCCTAGACAGTTCACAGCAGTCATTCCTGAACGAGTCAAGAAACGCTGGCTCCAGCGTGAGACTCAAATGGTTCCAGTTGAAATGATTGCTGCAGTCCTGGCTCTAGAGACTTTTGCCGATCGACTGCGCGGAGCTGATATCTTGTTGCTCATTGACTCTGAAGCAGTCGAAGGCTCCCTTATCAAGGGATACTCTAGTCGCGAAGATCTTTGTGAACTCATTTCGGTCTTTTGGGACCTTGCTTTTCAGTTGAGGGTTCGAGTGTTTATCGATCGAATTTCAACTGATGCCAATCCTGCTGATTGGCCGTCGAGAGAAAAGATGTTCATTGGCGAAAGCATTGGATGGGAGACGGTTAATGTCTTGTGGCCGCCGTCGCTCTTTCAGTGAGTGGAGGGCCTGGGTCTGTGACTGAGCTCTATTTTGTGGTTCATTAACTTTCTTGCTTTAACCTGGTCTGCGAAAGACTCTGCGTATAAGCTGTGAAGTTCGATGAATTGCTGAGCTCCATCCACCCATGATCTCTCAGTTTTTGCTTTTCAGCATTCAATAGATCCGGACTTAACTGCTCTCCCCATGCCCTGAGCAGTGATCAAAAAGGAAGCAGGCGCGTCCGTCAGTGCTCGGGGGTTTCAATTTGATTCTTTGTTTATTGATCTTAGAAATTCGAAAGTGTGAAAGTGATGTTCATCACGTCATTGCGCGATTGAGTCGTTCACATATCATCGGCTAGGTAGGTCTGGGATAGGTGTAGGACTCTTACGTTGCATGTTCACACTTTGATTTCTTATTTATTTTTTATTTATTTGATCAGACAGATTCACACCTGGAGTGATCACCAAGGATGCCAGTCCGATCGTTGGCCATTTTGGCGCGAAGTACGTGATCAGCTCCAGGCATCATCTCTCTCGAAAAGCCCATCCCGCCCACCCTGGGTTACTTCGCGTGGCTCAGGGTGTGGTTTGGCCTCCTCGGCTTTTGGATTAGATGTTTTGGTCAGTAATCAGACGCATTTCCTGACCTATTTTGCCTGTGTGTGAGTCTGATGGGGTCTGTGACTGAGCTCTATTTTGTGGTTCATTAACTTTCTTGCTTTAACCTGGTCTGCGAAAGACTCTGCGTATAAAGCTGTGAAGTTCGATGAATTGCTGAGCTCCATCCACCCATGATCTCTCAGTTTTTGCTTTTCAGCATTCAATAGATCCGGACTTAACTGCTCTCCCCATGCCCTGAGCAGTGATCAAAAAGGAAGCAGGCGCGTCCGTCAGTGCTCGGGGGTTTCAATTTGATTCTTTGTTTATTGATCTTAGAAATTCGAAAGTGTGAAAGTGATGTTCATCACGTCATTGCGCGATTGAGTCTGTGTAGAATTGGGATTTGACTTTAGCTGATTCTATTGGATGATGATGGATGATTGCATATATATATGTATATATATATATATATTTGCATCAAATCTATTGGAAATATAGGAAGATTGATGGGAAATCAGAGTTGATTGGATGAAAGATGGATCGATTGGCTTTAGGTAAATTTTGAGGCAGGAAAAGGGTCTCCGAGAACCAAAACCATAGTGATGATTGATTGGTACTGTATACAACTTTAGATGGCGCTGCCGTGACTACTTTTCAAGGGAGGCCCAGCAACTTTGGGGGGTCAGGGTAGAAGTGCAGTACGGGCCCACTACTGAGGTACATCTTCTAATCTTATGAAAATGATTTTAGGGCGGAGCTCGAAGGGAAGCCATGGGTGGGGGTGCCCAAATCACTACAAGTGGTCTACCGAAGGTCTCCTCTAGACACGAGACCAGATTTCACTGTCAAAGTTGGAAGGGCTGCAATACTCTGCCAGATCAGCTATTGGTGCTGGCTGGTCCCACTTGGGAGCGCAGGAACAGTACCACATATCCTGCCAGACCGACTCGCGTTGGGAGCTTCAGATTTGCTGGTCACGATGTCAAAACGTCATGGTTTGCCAGGAAACAAACATGCCAACGGATTGGAGATGGTACGACCTTGAAAACTAGGACTGACTGATTGACTCTTGCCATTTTTGTTTTGCTGGGTGTGTTGTGTGGATCCCTCCCAATTGCAAAAGGATTGGGGTATGGAAAAATCATCGGCTGGGGGGCCACAGCGTGAAATGACGACCAGGTGGCTGGCGTCGGTCTCTGGGGGATACCAACCCAGTGGAGGCGGGCGAGCGGCGTGTTCCGATGTTCTGCCGCCACTGCAGGTGTCATACACCTCTTGGGGGGTTTTGCTTGGTAAGTTGCTGCCCACCATCATCTGTGGGTAGGTCATTCGGTCTGAAAACAGTGCACACCCAAGTCCTTTGGTTTATCATCATTCTTCCTATGAAACGGCAATTTTATGGGTGTCCCTCAGTCTGGGACAAACCCATGGGGCACGCATGTGATGTTTGGGGCGATGACTTAACAGCCGCCAACAGCCAGGTGGCCAACTTCATCTTGGGTCTCTTTGAGAATGGTTTCTTCGAAGTCTCCGAGCTGATTTGCTGCATGGAGCTTAGGGCTCTTTGGGCATGGGGAAGGATGAAGTGGCTAGGTCTGTTTGTTTTATGGAAGAAGCCATGGGGTATTATGGGCTCTCCCCAGGAATTGAGTATAATTGATTGATATGAAGCAGAACATGATTGGATTTCTAAACTTGAGGAGCCACCTGAGCTGCCCACAGTGAGGCCTGATTTTCCTGAGACGCTTTCGCGAGAAGACTGGCCTCCGAATGGACCCTGCTTGCTGGAGGCACATCCTATGGTTGTTTCTTGAAGTTCGGTGGTGGTCGTTTCCCCAAAGTTGCTTCCATTATTATTTCCAGATATTTCCAGAAAATCTGAGATCAAGAAACCCATCACGGAAACCCAGCAGTGGATGGTTTTCAGATCCACTTAAATCGGATACCCACCTTGCACTTGGAGCTAGAAGCTACGAGAGGCCTCTCTTTGTGGCTGCATTGTTGGTCACTGCGGATCTCTCAGATGCTGATGTACAGATGTTGCATTTTTTGAATGTTCAAGCGCCATCTCTCTGCAACACTTGGACCACACATAGCTCCAGAGGAGTCTTGTCCTTTCGTATGGAAAGCTTTCTGGGAGAAGCCGATGTCCTCTGAGGACAAATACCTCATAGACAGCTCGGTGAAAGGGAGCTCGATGTCGGAACAATCCATGTCTGGGAAGCTCGGTGTGTTGAGTGATCTTGAAGAGGAAGTGGAGAAAGAGGGTCTGAACTTCCCAACATGTCACAACATACAAAAGCATAGAAAAACAGGTTGCTGTTCAGTTTCTGCAAAGACTAGAATTCATCCTATACCTACTACAGTACATACTTGAGGTCCTTATAAGGTCCGACCTTCTGGGTAAAGCAATATCCTCTAGGTCATTGGCCAGGGAACCCCAGTTTTCGTTGGTTGATATCCCCACATCCCATCCTTTGGCATCTGCCATCGCGCGACTGCCGAGGTTCCCAGTGTTGACACCATCGCAGGTCTTTGCTTTGGAGGTCAGCTGTACTATGCTGTACTACTTAGTGGATGGGTAGAGCAGAGGGTCAGCATCGGATGCTGGGTCATAAATATGGGAGTGCTATGGAAAATTATGAACATAACCTAATTTCTTGGGGATATAATAGGATTTTTCATGGGACATGTACACTATATATGATGGGTTGTGTCTGAACATGCTGGAATTAAGTCCCATTATTCCATTATTAATTACCCTCTGGTCATTTAACATAGCCATGGTATAGATGGCCCATTTATAGATGGTTTACCTGTGTTTACCTATTAAACATTGTGATTTTCCATGGCTATGCAAAATAACCATTTGAATATGGGGAACATGATGATCACCCAGTGGATTATTGTGGATCCTGACCTATAGACACAGACCAACGCCTAACACATGGTGATGCGACTTTTCTTGGTGCCGGATGTTGACACTGCTCATAATATGAGCATATGTGAAATTTGTGAAATAATCCAACCTGGCACGAGTTTCTTTTATTGCGTTCTGTATGACATGGCTGGACAAGTGAAACCATCAGAGTCGAACATTTGGATCCCGAACCGAGTTTGCACGGAGGAGTACGCTCGGTTTCATTGCAATCTCATCCTCTTCCCTTGCCACCCGCAACATCATCACTGACCCATGCCAGTTGACGTTTTGGAAGAAGCCAACGGCTTAGACGTGTGTTGCTGGGGTTGGTTGATACTGCAAGACAGCAAGAGGGCCATCTGTTAGGAAGAAACATATCGCGATGTAGTTGGCTGCAGGGTATCATATGGTGAACCATATCACAAACCACAAATGAACCCAACCTGAGTTGCATTGCATGGTATCATGATATGGGTTTCATTGTAAAATTATAGATGATTTGCCATCACCATATGTTAAGAAATCCCCATATATGGACCCAGAGGGTAACACTTACTAATATCACCCACCGTCACCCATATTAATCCATTGTTGGCCGCAGTTGAAGCTCTGCTGATCGCCGGTGAGGTTGGACTTTGGCCGTCTGTGGCTGACCCGGCGAGATTTCAAGGCCTTCTGCCAGGCCTGGGGGAGACACCGGTGCGGTGAAAACGTGGTCCCCACGTTAGAAAAGAACATCTACTGCTTGGATAACCTTCCCAATTTCAATGTCATCCAAATGGGAATTGATTGGGCTACTAGTAGCAAATGACATTTATGGTTTGATCTATAAAATCATTGGACATTTGCTACTATGAAAGCCCACCATTTGGATTTATAAAAAATTCTATAGTTTGATCCATAAAATATCTACATTTATGGATATGTATGGTCCATATCTATAAAATCTATGGCCTGATGACATAGCTTCGGTCTCTCTAAGCTGGCCACCAGCACCTGCCAAGGAGTTGGAGCTGCATGTGCCGGAGAGTATGGACTTGGCGAGATTCGTTGGGATGCCAACGGTGGCAGACGCCATTTTCTGTGGCCATTTATGACAAAGCCATTCTTAACGGTATACCTATGGGATCATATGGGTAATAAATGGGCAGTAAATGACCATAGAGATGATTACATGGATGTTCTGAGCAATGCCTATTTTTGTTTTGGAACCAATTTCTGATATTGGAAACAATTCTGATTTCGCATTCGAGAACCTGACTCGCTACAGCCAATGATAAGTTGGATGCCAAACTTTAAAGTGAAGCAAGACCATTTCGAATGAATGGAACGCTCCAAAAGAATATTAATATAGGTCTAACTCCTGTCAACCTCTCCCAAGGGCGGCTGTCTCTCTCATGTCTGAGCCGAGAGAGAGAGCGGAGAGAAATCTCTTCTGCCAGATTTTTGGTCCAAAAAGCAGATGTCCATGGAAGGATCAAATACAACTATACCATCCTATACCATCCTATACCATCCTATACCTTGGATTCTGACCTTCCAGAATGGCCATGTTAGCCAGCCTCCAGTGAGGAAAACATGGATTGGATTGGCAGAGAAAGAAGACATCGTCCTGGAAAGCAGCTTCGTTGATGTTGGAACAGCCAGTTTTAGCTTCACCTGTCCACTGAACTCGCGACATGGGTCGTTCATGGTGGAAATTGGCCGGGTTCTCAGAGTGGCTGATGGATATGGACCCCTCAGTCTGATAAATTAGTTTTCAGCAGTCTGATTTTGGTCTAAGTGAAGTGTAGAACTGTATAGCCCAAACTTTTAACACTCTGAAATGATCAGGGAAAGATAGATATCGGGTTATTTGAAAGTAGGATACTTCTCAAATCCCATGGTTTACCCTGATTTTCACCATTCGAATTGCCGGATCTTTCATTTCCCAACAATGTCGCTGCTGTGTCGCTGCCAGGGGAGCCAGGCTGAACAAGACCTGCCCAGGACCAGCGTCATCCCAAAAGATCATCCCAGAGGTTACTAGCCATAGGGGGAATGCTTTTGGGATGAGGATGCAACTTTTATGCCCTTGATGTTTTCGAGAATCTCAGTGCTATCACATCCCGTTCTACGTGTTGTGGGAACACCACCATGCTTCTCTGAGCTGAGACAGACAACAAGATCTCGATCTGAAAAAGCTTCTGGGGAATTGTTTTGCTCCTGAACTCATATGATTTCGCCAGCTATATTTACGGCCTCAACTTTTCATGATCCAGTTGTTTGTCCAGTTGTAAGGAGACCTCGCACCACACGGCTGATAGAATCCATGGACAGGATGACCAGGACAGCGAAGACACCGGCACAGACGCCATCCACCATAGAGACGCGATCACCGCCGGAAACGCCAGAGAAAATGACTCCACGAGAGAGGACGGCCTGTCACTGGGTTTTCGGCCTTGGATTGGGCTTCAAGGGGGGTTCAGCATGGTGAAAGGGCGGTACTGTGGTGCCAATTGTGCATTGTCCAGTATAGTGATGGCGACGGAGGTAATGATTGAAGAGAAGAGGAGATTCTTGGACTCAGGCACCAGGTAGAAGTTATGGACATTAGTCAACTAGTAGCTTGCAAGTCAGAGGAACAAACGGATGGCACCAGGTGTATCCATCAGTTCCTTCCTTCAGTGGATGAACTTGGCAGGATGGACCCCTGCAAGGTTCAGCTCAGGACAAGTTGTGGGTGCAACTGTTGTTGGTCAGGCTGTCAGGGGAGACCCCAACCACTACTTCCCCAGTCAAATACTGCACATAAGTACCATCCAATCGAAAATTTGTGATTCGCCAAGACCTATAACTACCAACTATCGTGTGGCCATGAATCATCTTAGCAGCGTAGGATGCTACAGGCAGCAACTTGGCAGATGCGCGAGGTGGTTTGATCATTTTTGGACGAACTATTGGGATTGTGGTCATGTTAGTTGAATCAAATCAAAATAATCAAACCAAAATCCCAACTGGAAATTTGACAAACACATTTAACATCATTTGACCCAGTCCAGTTGTCAAGTGCCTGGAGAGTTCCCAACAGAATGAAGTGCAAATGGTGTTATTTTACTTTTGGGGATGTCCGCGGTCGGCCCCTCGAGACTAGCATGGAGCCATATACAGCCCATCAAACTGGTTGGAATTCCCAGATCTGACCAAGGCAGTTTGGAGCATGGCCCTAGGGATCGCGCATCCCTTCTTCACTGAGCTCTCCAAGTCAGTATCCTGGCCACCGAACTGAAACTAGGATCAGAACGGGGTCATGTCTTGAAAGGGGTGCAACATGGTGTAACCACAGCAACCAGAGGATGTTCTGCAACACCTGGTGCTGATTGAATCTGATGTTCAACCACCAGAGGAGGCATCTTGGGCCTCAGGCTCACCTTCATGAGTTCGAGGGCGGTGTCCTGGTGCGAGATACACGACGGGTGATGCCTTTCCATTTGGATCCTTGGTTTGAGGGGTTGCTAAGGAAGGCCAAGGGTCGTGTATCAGTAGGAGATATGAGATGTGACGATGAAACATATGAAACAGTGAAAGTTGAGACCTCCCATGAGCCAGACGCATATTTTTGGGTGGATCAGTGAATCAGGGCTGTGGACATCCGAATCTCCGCCGAACAGTTTTTGACCCTCGCAGCTTACAGGAATTTACAGTACCTCAAGCCTCCACTATCCTCCACTCATGCTTCAAATTGCCGGGAAAATGTTGCAACAATTTCATCAATTTCGATGTTGCAACACCTGTTTGTGGAGCTCACTATGGGCACCTTGACATTACCGCTTCTTAGTTGAAAAAGGTGCAGCCAAAGATCAAGCAGCAAACGAGGGTGCAACTTCCTTGTGTGCAGCTCACAATATCTCAACTGGATCCCAAGTGGTGCTTTGACTTCAGCACTAAGCTGATGTCCGGTGTTTAGGAGGCAGCAGTTCGGAGCTACGAATGTATGGGTATCATGGGTATCCACATTCCCTTATTAAATGGGGAGCCAAGGAGCTACGAATTGAGTTTGCAAACGGCATGATTGATAATCCCCCCAAAATAGATAGTAAACGTATATAGATCATTATAGATCCATGCATATCCATACTAAAGTTGGTGATGATTTACTTTTCGATCAAACCGATTCACCAGCAGCCAGCATATTTCTTCGATTTTTTTTTGCCTGGTTTCACCATCCACCTGCAGCGGGGTTGCATCGCTGAGATCACGCTGACTTTGACCTCGCAGACGCTGGCAGTGCTGATTGCCGCATGTACCAGGGCCTATCTCTGTGGCTCCGTCCAGGCCATAGCCTGGAGACCAAAATCCGCTGGTTGATCCCAAAGTTACATAAAGTTACCCTAGGTTGCCATGAGCTTGTTACTGGATTTGGCAATATACATTCCAGACATTTACGGCAATGTTCCAATTCAAATCGGATGGATTTTCGGACCGACCCAAACAGCTCGGTGTCACGTCCGCAAGATATTTTTCTGCAGGTGGCTGCGCGCGAGCTCTTCGATCCCAGGTGGGATTTGTTGACATGAAATCAATTCCCACAAATTCGGCCTACATCAAGGTAGCCATGGGATGTGAATTTCAGACCATTTTTGACCATTTTTGACCTTGGAAGTCGGCGTGCAATACAGTAATAGTAGGTACAGGGGATGATAGAAGATTAATGAGTTGATAGAATGATACTAGAATAAATTGTGGTTATACCCTGAAATAGTGGACGTATTGTCTTGGTTGTAGGATTGTGGCACTGTGTGTTGCTCCCCGATACTTGCTCACTGTTGTATTCTGTGCGGGGTTCAAGAACTCCGGACAAGATTATCAATGTTGCAAAACCGGCGAACCCCCATTGATAAACCTCTCTTTAGGCTGCGTTTTGATCCCTCAGTGGTAAACTTGGATAAAATAGGATAAACAGGTGGAACAACCATGATAAGATTGAACAAATTTGGATAAACCGATAAACCAATATATTATATATATAATTATATAATATATATTATATATTAATATATAATATACGTATATATATATATGTATATACATATACATATATATATATAATAACGATAATAATACAGACAGTCGGATAAACTTGGGGTATGCTTAAAGAAGCAGCCCTATCTTTGGGTACTCAGATCTGGGCTTTATCTGGGGATCCCAGAACTCCATGGCCAGGATGGAGAAATTCCTACCCATTGGTATCTTGTATGGTGACCTGGCTGATCCCTAGAAACCTCGAATGGGGCTGGGCGGCTGGGCGGAGAATCCCTAGAAACGTGCTGTGAAGCTGTGAATGTGCACCTTCCAAACTCATCATTTGGCGGAATGTGTTTAGTGGGATGTGAAGAAAAGCGGACTTTCAGGCTTTGGGAACCTTTTGGGAAAATCGAAACGAAGGGTGGGATACATCAGACAGCTCAGCCTTCACATTCTGATGTCTTGACTGTGACCACCAAGCAACCATATCTGTAGCATCATCGTATGAAGTATGGATTTCATCCCATCCGCTCCAGGTGTGGGCGATTTCCTGCAGACCATGGCCTGCAACAAGTCCTCCACCCCAGCCCCTTGGAGAAATGACGGAGCACCGTAGGCGTTGTGAGTTGCAGATCCCTTGGAACTTGGCCAGAACTGGGCCCCAAAACATGGTAACAGGATGTAACACGGCTCCTCGAAGCCCTGCATTTGTTTGACAAAAACGATGTACCCAAAAGATCATAAACGCCTCACGTTTTCCTATTTCATGAATGTGTTTGGATCATTTGACGACGAACAATTTAATCTGCACGTTTTCCATCCTTTCTTTCATGTTGTCGGTCAGTTGTCACTTTGCCAAATTAGTGTGAAAATCTATTCGTAGATTCTGTCCCAGAGCAGATATCATAACGCAGCATCAAGTGTGTTCAAGATTGTGCAAGTTCAAGAGAAGATATCATAACGTAGCATCACGTGTGTCTGCAAGATTGTGCAAGTGCAAGAGAAGATATCATAGCGTAGCATGCCGTCTGTGTGCAAGTGCAAGACAAGATATCATAATGTAGCCTATCCTATGTGTGCAAGTAAACATGAACTTTACTGCCCCACCCCACCCCACCCCACCCACATAGCATGATAACAAAAATGACAAAGCATCCGAGCCTCGTTGGGTGTGAGAATACGTGTCACCAAAAACATAGCAGGGGGTATTCCGTGAACTACCAGCCTTTTTCCAGGAAAAAGAATGTGTTTTTTTTTTTAAACGTAGCACATCATTGGTTTTCAAGGGTATCTCATTGATACCCTCCTATAAACTTTTTTCATCTTTTTTCCACAGCTTGTGCGAAGAATTTGCAGCCGCCACTCTGAGGTAGTGTTGCTGGTGGGCCAAAGCAAGCTCTTCCTTTCTGCCCTGCTCTCGAAGGTTGTCCTGGACAGCCAGCCCAATCGCACGCCACTTGCGACGGCAAGCGGCAAACTGGGGGGGGTTGGCAGGTTGGGGTGTTCGGACTTCTTCCCAAATGTACTGGGTAGGGTAAAAAGAGGAGGTATTCCAACAAACTCACAGTGGTGAACTTGTATGTATGAGTCATATATGATGGTAGTTTCAGCTGGATCCCCAATATAATATATATATAATTAGAAATTATAATTATTACAATTTAGAATATATTGATGATCACTTCAAGTATAGCATTCCAGCTTTGGTAAATACCCTGTATCCCCGCAACAGCCATGGCCATGGGTTTTTCCACCCAAGGAACTGGCTCTGCCTGCTGACCATTTCCCTTGCCACCATGGCCTCCACGGATATCAGTGCCAACGACGCGCTGGCGCATAGTTCTCTGGCACCTAAGGGGGAGGCTGACGCTGATGGAGTTGTGATGTGGAAATTTACTACAGTTATTGTACTACTGACTACTGCCTAAACAAAAAACATGTTATTGTGATGTTTGCCATTATTTTTGATGATGACGATGATGATGATGATGATGTTGTTGTTGTTGATGATGATGATGATGTTGTTGTTGTTGTTGATGATGATGATGATCGAGGTGAAGAGTTCAAGGGAGCCTTGCTGGCCTTGCTGAAGGCCGTCCTGTCCACAACAGGTGCAGATGGCTGGGTTTGAAAAAAAACGAAGCCGGGAACAACTGGAAGTCTTGGGAACCAAATTCTTGGAGTAAGCTTACGATATCTATGAGTCGATGAGAAAGTTCCAATCCTTTCTTTGACGGACTATCAAGTGGTATGGGATGCAGGTCTGAGGTGGAGAGGCCAAGCTCTCCCAATCCGCAGTCGTCCGATTCAAAACGTGTGGATGTGTCATAGTTCGAGACCTATGGAACCGCAGATTTTGGTCATTTATAAATGTCAGATTGAAGCAATGTTGAGTCCCCAATTTTGAGCCACTCCCACATATCAACCTCTGATGGTAGGGCACCCTGTCACTCAGCAGGTGCCGTGTGGTGTGAGCGAGTTTACAAAGGCTCTGGGCAGAGCGACTTTTGGGTAGTGGCTCGGCTTTTGGGGCAGGCGACGCCTGGTTTTTTGTGAACGGCTTGTTTGGTTTTGGTGAGTGAACAACCTTTTTGGATGGGAAACTCGGAGATTGAACAGTTTTGATATGTTTTGATCATGTGCACAAATTGATACTCTTGGTTTCCAGATTTTCCAAACACCTGCTGGACCATTGATATTTCAGAATTAGATGTACTATAGCTATTGGTGATTTATTCTAATCTTCGCAATATGCACTGTATATGCATCAAAATGGCTCCGACTCCGACGGGTACCTTTTTCATCTTCCTTGTGATTAGAACATGGCAAAACATGGTTTGGAAGGTGTTTCTGTTGTTTGGTGATTTATGCTAATCTTCACAAAATGCCAGATTTCACCATGCATGGAAAGATCAAACAGACTTGGGAAATCGGGAAAAAGGACAAAACGCGTGCAGTCAATGTGGAGACAAACGTAGAACATCGCCACCAGCCAAACTATAGTTGTGTGTGGTTGCCTATGTTCTAAGACCATTTGCGGACGCCCTAAAACGGCGATATTCTAAGTTCTGGGTATCTCATTTTGGAAATGCCGGCGATATTCTAAGTATTTCTAAGTTTCAGTCAGTCGCTATATATTTGATCATATTTAGGTATGGGACCGTGGCATTTCCGTGGCGGACCGCAGATTTTGATCCACTTGAGCACTCAAAGCATGCCATGTCAAGGTACCCAATGGCGTTTGAATATGAGAATCAGCCGCCACTTGAACTGGCCAGGTGTCCTTCCGCGTGCAACTGTCCATGCTGATGACAAGCAACTTGGTGTCAGGAAAAGCAAGCTGCGGCAGCCAGTCATTGATGATATAAAATGAAGGATATCCAACTGCTTTGAAGCGCGTGGCTTATGCATATTTTCTCTGCTTTTCCACGTGACTGGATTCCCATCCTGATCCTTCGGGCGTGAAACACTCGTGCTCCTACAACCCCTTAGCCATCAGAGATCAGCCACCGGGTCTTCACAAATGGCTTGACCCCACCCCCGGAACCTTCGTCCATTTGATGGATATTTTGTGGTGCAAGGCCAAATATATATATATATATGTATATATATATTTTATATGTATGTATATATATATATATTTTGTCTCATCTCGATTTTCGATTTCCCCCGCGGCATAGATCAATGCGAAGAAGCTCCGCGCCGCTCCACTTTTCCGAAAACAGAATGAAACCATCAGGGCGATGGCTTCCCTCAATTTGTTTTCTTCCTTTCTGGAGGCATCACAGCAGCACAGAAGCACAGCAGGACAGTAGAACAGAGGGACAGCACGAAAGAGGACAGCTTTCTGGACTTGTGGAACCCAAAATTTGATCCATATCCATTGGTCCATCCATACCCTCCAGTATTTTAACTTAGCTATGGAAGATGGCCTTCTTATGTCGATGATTTGCCTGTGAAAAATTGTGATTCTCCATGGCAAACCGTCATCAGATACAGTACAGTAATCCTTGCTGCTTTGAGGTATCGTCTTGCTGCTGGTCAACAACAACCCTATGGAACTCTGGGCCACTGGCTTGTTCTCCAGTGGGCCTTATCCGTTGCTTGACTGCAAACTTTTTCATGTGGGTTCACCACAAAATCTGCTGATTGTTGGGTTTCTTGGTGGCTCAACCGCCAGCTGTCGCCAGCTGCTGAGGGTGTGCAGCGGCGGGCTTCCTCCGGGCTGTGAGGGCAGTGTGTGCCGCTTGGATGTTTGGTCCCTTTGAAGCCGCGGGAAAGTGTTAAGGTCGGCTCAGTTGGAACCTCCATCCCCTTGAGTGGATGTAGAATAAAATTAATGTAGACGTGATTGAGAAGGCAATTGGGTAACAACAACCAAATCAGTGAGACATGATATATTCACTGAGAGTTGGGAGGAGCATGCCTGAGAGCAGGGTTTTGGTGCAGGTGTCGTCACTTTTGTCTTGCAACGCAACAACGCACCGTTTGTATCCAAGTGCAACTTACCCCTCTCTACAAGGATTTGATGTCCACGCACCAAACATAGGCTTAATTGACCTTATGTTTTGAATAACACAGGACACTGTCACCTTTGCCATTTAACTGCCCCTTTTTCCATGGCTTAGCTTGGTTGCAAAGTGGTAAAACTTGATCAAACAACTTTGATGTGTCCAGTTTCTTACGTGATGGCTATATGTCAATATCAAACTTGCAAACCTTGGCAGAAAGAACCCTATAACCCCATTTTGGGAGAGGTTTCCTACTATAACCGAGTGTTCCCATCTTTTCCAGCACTATCCAGCACTGATGGTCTCTGAGGCGCTTGCACCACTACAGCAGGCTGGGATTACAAGACTCTTGGCTCACATGTTTCGTGATGGCACCATTGGTTTTGGTGTTTTTTCTTTTTGATCCAAGAAATCTGAGAATGGAATCAGGGAACGGAACCTGGGACCCGCAAAATCATCGGTTCCTGCTTCACAAACGACTCCATGACATGGATATGCAAAATTATAGAACCTCAACATTTGTTCGCTTTCAGCATCACACCATTCATATTTGGGAGATTTTGGGAGCACGTCGAAACCCCAAATTTTGGTGGGTCAAAGCTCCGGTTTTGTGATGGGTCAATAGCTGACCATGAGGACTTGCCTGGCAATGGTCGCGATAATCCTGAATGGCTACGCCACCGGCTTCTTCCTGAAGCACCTGTCGGCTGTGTGCAAGGTGCCGGATTTCACAGGTGTGATATTGGTTTAGGTCACAATAACTCGTAATCGTCATCGGATATTATGGTGGAGGGTTTTTTTGTTGTGTTTTTGGAGTGACCGGGGATCGCAGGTCCTGAAAAAACGTAAGGCTGGAACCAGATTCAGAGTATGTTGTACTGATGGGCCACGTTGCCGGAAATAGATTTGAAGCGGCACGGCATTCCGCCATGGATTTCATTTGCATTTTCCGCCCACCAAGGAGCCTTATATACTTGTTCATATACAGAACGGATGTTATTTCTTTCCCGAAAACATCTTGGAAGCACCTGACCCTTGGGCACTGACTCTCATCCTTGGCCTTCCCCCAGCGAAGTTCCAGGCAGTGTGCAACCTGGGAAGTTCCGGACTCTGCTGTGCGGCCTGCTGGGCCATGGGCTTTGGATCTTGCAGCATTGCACAGGCGCCTGGGGTGATGTCTCCAGTGAACCAAAGGTGAGAAGTAAGGGCGGGAAGGATAGATCTTACGGGCTCCGTTCGAAAGATCGTTAGATCTGTTAGATATTTTTCCATTATTTTTCCTATCGATGAATGACCTCTGTTGATATTCTGCGGTCTGCAAGGCCCATTGCAACACTTCAACACAGCGCTTCAAAATGAACTGATCATGGAAATCCTAGGGCGCCCAACCACAGGCAACCACCCCCAAGCAAATGAGGCCTCTATTTTGAGGATTATTAATCACACACGTACAAGAAATAATCCTGCATCAACATATAGTCAACCAATGTCAACCATACATGCACATGTACTCATTAGAACAGTTAGAACCTTAAAGCCCCGTTCAAGGAAACAAACCTTGGGCATTTTTCACCCAGAAAATGGCTGAATTCAAGCCATGCCATGGCAGGTCTGTGTGACAGTCATAGCTCCTCGGATTTGGGTTGTGGGTCTTGGTAGGTGGATCCAGTTGAGACCGTCTCTGCAAAGAGGATGCCAATATATCTAGTGAAATGATGGTAATAATATGCCAATACCTTATATAATACATATATATATATAGATATTAATTATACCCTATATATCCTTACATAATATATATATATATGTACTGTAAATATCTGTAATATCCACTGTAATATACACCATCTTGCTACCGGACTTGTGTGTGAATCATTCAAGAAATTTTCACCAGGGGCACAATGAATTGTGGTGTAGGTGCAACAGTTGCATCATCCTCCAACCAACATGGACCCTGTCATGAATTGGGGGTTGGAAGACTCCTTTCCCAAAAAATAGGGCGGTTTTCAGGTTCTATGTTTGTTGGGGGATGGGTAAATCCCATCAAATCCCACTCGATGCCGTTTTTGTTCAATTAAATCCAATGTTTCCCATTCAATTCCACGAAATCACTGGCACAGCTGTAGGTGCCAGTGACTTAGGTGTTGCTGCATTCTGGAGACTATGCTCTTGAAAAAGCACAGGCGGCCAGTTGCACGAAAAGGACTGCAGAGAATTGAATACGGGTTGTTGTATAGTTTGTGTGGGTAGTAATGTAGGAAACCCAATAATATAATGATAAACCTACCATTTGTGAATGGTTTATAGAACCCATTTATGGTGATTTGGGGGATTGTTTATTCTTGGGCTTACCGCATTACAGGGTTGTACAAACATCAGAGGGTTTCAAAATAGCTACAGCAGACTTACTGTAAACTGCATCAACTGCATCAAATATATTACTGTAGTCCGTTGAACACACCATTTCTGATGATTTTTTTGGGCCAGACAGTGAAATCCTGGCCCATGACCCCCTTGCCGACCTGCAGGACTGACCTGCAGGTTCCGCGTCGAACAACTGGGACCCAAAACATGACGACCAGTGCAGTATGCCTTCCTACAGATTGTAATTCTTAGAACAAACATGTGAAGATCTGAGTCATTGCCGCATTGCTGCATGAACACAATTGGTGCTTGTGACGAGCCTGAGACTTCTATGTGACTTGAGATTGCACAACGCTGTAACATGGTTCTGAACAAACAACTGGACCAGAGATGTCTTTGAATGAACTTATGAGATGTTTGATGATGTTTGGCAACTTTCACCGTAAAGAGATGCATGTTGGAAATTCGCAAGAGCCTTGTTGCTGCAACGCATAAAGGATGCCTGATGTCAGGTCGCCAATGAAGAGTGGACTGCCAACTATTCCAAAGGCTCAACAGGACGGGTGAAACTCATCCGAAGTATACACAATAGACCAGAAAATGGATGGTTTATGGCATTGCAGATTCCCCATTAAGGCATCATAAGGCATCAGCGTCAAGGAAGGGGATCTTCACCATACAAACGCCTCAAGGGCCATGCCAAGAAAGCCGTGAAGACTGAACAAAAGCAACTTCAGCCTCTCTTTTTGGTCACTGTTTCCGTTCTTTTTTAGTGGAAAAATATAGCTGGAAACAATGGAATCGGCATTTAGGGCATTTCATCAAAACCATTATTAAAATCATCCATCATAGCTATACATTAATAGCTTTTTTCCATCATCATCCAAGCTTTTAGTGTTTGGTCTTTTCATAACCTTGGATGATGATGATCCCCGAGCTGCCGAGCACATCCGTGATCCAAGTGGTGAAGATCTTCCTGGACCCAGGAGCGGAAAAGCCCAAGTTGGCAACCGAAGATCCTTGAATGGTCTCCTTGCGTCGAACAGTTGACCCGACGATCTCCTGATTTTTTCAGGGAACGCTGGGTGCATGGAGAGGCTCAGAAAGATGGAAAGATGCTGTAGATTTTTTCATGCCATTATATGGAAATTTGATGAAACCAACAGTTTTCAAATTCTGAGTTTGGTCATTTTGAGATGACAGATCTAGGCTCTCCATTGCAGTAGGGAGTAGGATTTCAAATAGGTGTAGGCCAAATGAAATTCGAAGAGTTGCACTGCATTGCATCTCGTGCCGGCCAGGTGTGTTTTCCACAACTGATTCTCCATCCATGAAATCTCCTGTGTCGATGGTTTGGATCTGAGATTCCCCAAGATCAACTCGTTGGATTTCGCAGTTTCCGTAGCGTCGCGTCGCGCCCGCGAGATGGCTCCGCGAATTCGCTTCGTCGGCGTTTTTTCCCAACAGGCCTGGGACATGGCTCCAGTTACGCTAAGAAACCGGGGGCAAGTTCCCTTGCCATGTGCTCACACTGTCATAAGGCAGAGTTTGCATTATTTGTATCATACCGACAGGATATATATATAATATAATGTAAGTATATAATATATACACATAATCATAGACATCTATCCTTATTCTGTGTGTTGACGCCAATCTACTGGGTGCATGCACTGTAAAAACCAGGGATTTTATTTCCGCAGATTCAGGTTTCGACACCACTCTGTGTGACATTTAAACTACATGCCATTCCCAGGCTTGTATTTGGGAGAGTTTGCTCCCAATGGGGTTCGCATATGAAGCACTGGCAGAAACCTCTGAGAACTGTCCGATCAATCTTCAACTCCTAGTAAGATTCAAGATTCTGAAGGGCAAAAGCCACGACACCAGAATTTTGGGCCAAACGACAGTATGGCAGAGGTTTGGTTCCAGTTTTTCATATGAGACTGCGGGGGATACAGGACGCTTCGCGCTTGTGACAAAATATGTGGAGGCTCAAGGGTAGTGACCAGTTGTGGTGCTGAGAGGAGCTCCAGGACACTGCGCGCCTCTAAGTTCTAGGTGGTGCCAGAAAATCAAATTGGGTCAATGTGGAATTAGCCATCCCAACAGAATAGTTGATAGAAAGGACCAGAAGAATCAATCCAGCACCGTGACCTCCAAGGTCAAAAGCCACAACTACGTGAAGTCAGAGACGTTCACGTCACTGGGTAGCAAAGGAAGCCAGGCTAAGCCAGGTGGCAGCTGTCCAACAATGTACTCATCTTATGTGAGTTGATCAATTGACCATCCGTCCCTACTATCATCCCACTTGATATACTCATAAAATATATATACTCATAAAATACTCATAAAATACTCAGCCAGTATACTCATCACTCATGATCTATCTAGCAATGGTTGTACTGGATGATCATCCCATATCATCCCTATGCCTCAGGTGGGGGGAGAACAGTCGAATCCCCAGCGTTTCCGAGTGACATGTTGGTGCCTCCAATGGTGATTTCAACATTGAAACATATTGAAACATTGAACTCATATTGAACCAATATTGAACTGGATTTGAATATTAGTTCAATAAATTGTAGTCTAGAATATATAATCCAGGTCTAGAAATAATTCTGGATTTGAAGAACTCAAATGAATTGAATTAGATTGAATTGGCTACGTGCTTGGGGAAAATCATGACCTGTCTGCTTGGGCTTCTTTTAGTCGTGGCCGACCCGATGACCCCAAGCGAACTGCAAACTTGTTTTTTGTTCAAATGATATGACCTTTGCGTGCTGGGTGCAACACGCTACAAAACTTACAAAACCATATTAAACCCAATCATTGCCAATCATCAATGCTTCATTTTACATTTTGCCATTCATTTTGTCCAATGTCTTTACTGTTTGTTGAGGCCAAATCCAGGAGTTGGACTTGCACCAGGTGCCGCTGCGAGAAAAAAAACCTGTACAGCTACTGATTCATCATGGGGATTTAGCCAGCCGAAAGTTGGATCCGGAAAAAGAAACACTGGTATAATATATATATATAATATAATATATATATATATAGATATTCTATATATATATATATATATTATATTAATATGTATAGAACTGATATATCATATCTGGCTATATGTTTTATTTACTTATACGTGCCTTGGGCAAGTTCCGTCGGACGGCAGATCTAGAAGCTAGAAACGCACATGGTCATGGTTTGTTTGGGCCGGACACATAGAATCTCCTTGATCCACCTCAATAACTGACATGTTCACTTCAGTGCTCAAATGCGTTCGGCAATGTGTCAAGCTGGGGTTGGGATTAGTGGAGTCCTGTAATTGTGCTCCACGTAGATTCAACCTAATTGTATATATTTATATATATACACATATATAATAATATATATAATTATATAAATATTGTATAATTGCATATTCTGTTTCGGTACATTGCATGTATCGAATCGCGCAAGATTTCACCACTAACTTTCGCACTCTGCATATTTCGCGATACCAGAGATTTGCGTAGAACGGAATTTACATCAGACTGTGTGGCTTTGCAAAGAGGCCAGCTGGTAAATATATGTAAATATTAATTTCTCACTTTGTTTCAGAACGCACAATTTTTTCTGTCTACGTCAGGATCACTACAGGATGCACAGATGTTCTTTTTTGCTGATAGATGGTCACACGCACCCATACACAGCACGTTTCGCATGATGTGGTTCGACCAAGATCTCAGTTTTAGCCGTTCTTTGTTGCGATCTTCTGCCAGGTGCACTCCAAAAACTACAACAAGAGCACAGGTTCGCAGTGCTGGAGTAGTGCCTCATATCTCAGACCGTCTCAAAGAGTTGGCTTCACAGCTGAGTTCAACCTTGCAGAGGCATGGAAAGGCAGGTTCCCAAAACAGAACGACGGGCCCTTGCTGGTTCTAATAGTGATGGATTTCCAAAGCGGATCGACTGCTGCTCGCAAGTCTAGTTCAAGTCCCATCAATTTTTATGCGGAATCTCACCATTTTTGCTGGGTTGAATCCTACCTGTTGTATTGTTTGTAGATTATACAGTATGGGTTTGTTGTTGGTCAAACACCCATTAGACACCCACATTCACCCCCCCCCAGTCGCTGGGCACCAGGCACGCTGAACTTCCAGAGGCTCTGCTGGGTGGGGTGCTGCTTGGTTTGGCTATATGTCCCTCGGATACATTCTATCATGATGTTGGTGATGATGATGGCTACTATTGCCGCAACGACATTATAGTAAACATCACCAAGAGTATCAATCAATCAATCATATATATATACATATATACATATATATATACATATATATACACATATATTATATTATATTATATTATATTATATTAATTTATATTATATTATATTATATTATATTATATTATATTATATGTTATTATATGTTATTATATTATATGTTATTATATGTTATTATATGTTATTATATGTTATTATATGTTATTATATGTTATTATATGTTATTATATTATATTATATTATATTATATTATATTATCAGGATGCTGGTTTTGACTGCAATGACGATGGTGGTGATGGTGCCGACACAATGACCAAGACGACAATGCAGATGATGATTTTCGGATTTTCGACGATCCATTTTGATTCAGGTGGCTGCACTGCCAGCAGTGGCACTTCCCAAGGCACATGATATAACTGCTGCAGGCCCATGAACGGCGTGAGCGTGAAGCCGGTAGCGTTCGGAATCTTGGGAGTGGAGGGTTGATGTAGAGGTACTGAGGACCCGACTTGTAGGAAAAGTAAATTGGCTTAGGCTGAGGTTGTTAGGTGGAATTGATGTTGAGAAGTACTCCGCGCCTGTTCATAACCACAGCATCAGCCATAATCAGCCTAAAGAACGTTGGTACCATGGATCATGGCGGTGGCGTACCTATGGAACCATGGTTTTGGATGGCAATCCCGGCCCCCACTTCACCAGTTGTTAGAACTCTTCAATACCAGCAATAAATACCATTTATAATAGTTAGAATTCCATGAGTTCAAATCACCTTTAGGTTAAAACTGATGGGATTCTATAGATTCATAACTATTATAATCCCATTAAAACTGGTTATCACCTTTAGTGACCGTGCAGCATTTTAATCAGAGATTTGCCGAGGTACAAGCCGCGGCAAACGCTGTTCGCGCAGGTGCGCCAGCTGGGCGCTTCCCAGCTGTGTTTAGCACCTTCTCAATGTGGTGAAATGTGGGGTTGTTGTATTTCATTGCAAGACTGAGAAACTACATGGACATATGATTACATCATATCATATATAGTTATATACACAGTTTGATTCATATCATATATGTATGTGTATATATATATATACATACACATAATGTATTGATACTTGCAAAAATTGCCCTCCCTGGTCAGGACACTGAGTTGAAGAAGGCCGGCTTTGACGCAATGCCCCAAAACTCCTTGTGGCCGGTTGTTGGGACTGGTGTTGTACTGCATGGTGTAAGGACGTTTCAGGGGAGTTATTATCGTCACAGTGGGGAATGCCTTACCAACGGACACGTTTCCTATGGCGTTGCAGTCTGATGGGTTTCCCAGACCACGAAGCACAAAGGAGCATCAAATCAGGTTTCACGTCTATTCATTTTCCAAGAAACATGCGCCACTCGGTCAATCTAAGTTTACTAAGTTCAGCTTCACTTCGTTTGAGTTTGCTGATAGGTTTTCCAACAAACATTGACAAGTTGACCATTTTTCCCAGATTTTTTCTCATTTTTGTCTCGCCGGGGATTGGTTCGGACGGTTTTTTTTCGGCCACAGGACGTGGATTCCCTGGCCATTCGAGATGGCATCTCCCCACGACGAAGGGATGAGAAGGACGGGGCCAACAAGAACTCAGCTAATCATTATATAATACTACCCTCTGGTTATTTAACATAGCCATGGACAGATCCACCATTTTTAATAGGTAAACCCAGGTAAACCATCTATTTCTATGGGCCATCTATACCATGGCTATGTTAAATAACCAG